TCTACCCAGCTGTTTATTGTGGGTGAATCAATGAATCAAGTGGGTTCACCCTAGTTGTTTAACTTTACCCAGCTGTTTAATGTGGGTGAATCAATGAATCAAGTGTTAGGTATCACTCTAGTTGTTTAACTCTACCCAGCAGTATAAAGTGGGTGAATCAATGAATCAAGTGGTAGGTATCACCCTAGTTGTTTAACTCTACCCAGCTGTTTATTGTGGGTGAATCAATGAATCAAGTGGGTTCACCCTAGTTGTTTAACTTTACCCAGCTGTTTAATGTGGGTGATTGCTTGTAAGTTTGCGAAACTTTTGTTTATAAATCGTTGTTTGTAATAACTGTTATTGTAAATTGTATTGTTGTGTGTATATTAAAACGTATTTGTGTTAAAAAAGAAAACTGTGTATCAATCTTGTTGGCAAATATGATAAACTGACTATATATCGGCTTTAATTTAACTGCTAAATCCAAAGTACAATTTAACTACTAAACTTAAATTTATCAGTTAACTCAATTTCAGGCTATTTGAAATTCTAATACGTAACAAAAAGTACTGTTGTCAACACAGAACCCCTTTTTTAAATCTATTATTTAAAAAATTACCCCTTAAAATGCATCTACCAATGCCATAAACAGCTATAATAAATGTATATATCAAGGCAAATCACGAATTCAATAAGTTGAAGTGCTTAAGGAAAGTAAGCCTAATGACAACAAATTTAAATAAAATTGGGCCTTCACTCGCTTCAGTAACTCGATCGATCAGTCGTGGAATTGTACAAGTGAGTTTACCTTTACTTAATCGCTCTGATTTTGAATCTAAAATGGAAAAATTAAGAAAATGTGAAGTAAAAACTTTAGCGGCTTTCGTGATTTTTTATCACAAATATTAGGCCTATTGGTTTCTAATGCTTCGCCAGCTTTTGGCGTTTAAACTGGTGGATTCTGAAATTAAAAATGAACTAAGTAACCAAACTAATAAAAATATTATATTTTTTATTCGTTAACTATAGCAACAACATATTAACATAAAAAAATAAATATAAAAATAACTCGAGTGCTTTCGAAATGTTGACTCCTTTTTTCATGGGTAAATAACAAAAAATATATTAGTTCACAAGAAGTAAAAACAGACCCCTTTTTATTTTATAATGGGTAACTAAACTGTACATTTCTAACTTTTCTTAACTCTCATCTATTCAGCTGAATAAATGAAGAATATTGCCATTCATGCAATGGTGTTTTTCTCTCTCTCTCTCTCACTGTCTGTCTCTTTCGCGATAATTTATCGAAAATCATAAATTTTTTCTGGAAGTCGATACTTACTAGGAGAGTACCTGTGCGATGCCCGGTGAGAAGTTCATGAAAGTTGTTTTCTGATAGATGCCTGTTCCAGTATAAAAACTGAAAGTACATAGGAAAAGAACTATTCATGTCAACTTGGCTTAATTACTTAAATAACATTTTATTTTCTATTTTAAGCAATAAGTAACGTAACTTGAAACATCTCACTTAATATAAATGTCGATCTTCAAAGTATGTATAAACAGTGTGTGAAAGAAAAAACAAGTGATTGATAGGATTTGAAAACAAAATGCATTTGTATAATGTTTTGCCACTTATGAATATAATTTGGGTTTCTGTTTTTGTCCTTAACATGTCAGTAATAACTGAAAAAACATACTGTGTTGTGTGTATACCCCATGTAATGAAAGAGGAAACAGGAGAAATCCCCTCAGTAACCTTAGTGGCCACTCCAACTGACTGATCTATACTTAACCAGCACTGAAGCTGTGAAATCTGTACGTTTTAAAAGAAAATTAATTTATCTTGACAGGTTTTTTTGTTTTTGTCAGGTCCAAATGCAAAAGCTTGGGAAGAGTTGTAGGACAGACTTCTCTGAAACCATAATTAGATTTATACTGGAATAATAAAAATTAAGTAACGTATATGTGATGTTCGCATAATTATAACCAACAACAGGCATGAAGCAAGAAAGTTAAAGAAAAAATAAAAACGAATGTGCCTGCCAGGGATCGAACCTGGGACCTTCCGCGTGTTAGGCGGATGTGATAACCACTACACCACAAGCACCTTATATCTAAAATTTGTATATTGTACATTTAGAATGTGTTAGATCTTTCTGTATGTATAATTAAGATTTTATTATTGGTAAAATTTATTTGTTTTTATTGTACTTTTTATTACAATCCCTAGGCCTTGACCGCAATTTTTAAACTTTTAATTAATTGTACTTCGTTGCTCTAGAGTAGTACTCAACCTTTTCCAATATCATTCACCCCTATAAGTTTTTCACAACAACTCACTCACCCCAGTTCGAAAAAAGTACTGAATTAGAATTATTTATTATGACTTA